GCTGCTGTGACTTCCTTGTGGGTGACAAGGCCTGGAAGTCCCTGAAGGATATGCCAACCACTACTATTGGCCTTTCCTATCTCCTGAGCCCATTCTTAACCCCTGTCACCAGAGTCTAGGCCCTGAGATGCCTTATTCCTACGTCAAACCCTATTCCCCTCCCCAAAACTGGCACTGTCTCTCCAAGTGCCCCAGGGGGTCACCTCCTCCCCATGGTGTTTTAGAACTCCTTTGGCTAAGTGAGGAATTTTCCCACCAGTTCTTCCGAAGATTGTTTATAAGCAAATCTGGCAGTTCTTTCCTTTTTCTTTTTCCTGCCAGAGGGTGGGGCAGGAGGAAGGGGGAGAACATGGAGGAGGAGGAAGGAGAAAATGTTGCCATTGAGCACAGAGGTGACATGGTGCTGTTGGCTGGTGCCAGCCTGGTGGTGGTCCCGGAGGTCAGGTTTAGTGGCTTTTCCTTAAGGCGATACATTTTCCACTTGGACATATTTGATGAACGTGATTTGGAGAAGACTGCAGTGAGAATTAAGCACACATGTGAAAGGCCCACGTGTTGGCACCAGCATCCTATGACCTGGAGGCCTAGATGTTGTGGCGTCTTCAGGGAGGACTTGTCACCACTCCCCACGTCTCCTCTTCTAGAGCCTCATCTCATGGACCCCAGACACAGTCAGGATCAGGCCTTTGTCAGGCCACCTCAAGTCATCTGACTCCCAGACTCTAAGCACAAAGCTGGCAGCTGGTGGAAGGGACCTCCTGGTCGTGTGGCCCAGAGGAGCTTTGCAGAAACAAACGTTGCCACCTGCTGCCACCCAGGAATGCTTGCAGGTGGGGGTATTAAGACAATGTTGTTTTTGCACCAGTTAGGGATTTTTCCCATGGTGTCTTTATGATAAACATTCTCCTTTGACTGTCAAAGTGAATGTCTATAATGAACCTCACATTGTTACATGTGTTTGATTTAAGGCAGCCAGTCAGACACCCTTTTGGTTCTGGGCTAGCTGATTTTGAGGTGCCTGTGGGATTCCAAAGATGGTGTGGCCAGGAGGTAGCTAGACATCCTGGTCTGGAGCCCAGGAAATGGGCTGGCACAGCACGTGTGTACATGCAGTCAGAACATGTGATCTTCCAGAGAGAAATACAGACATCAAAGAATGCAGAAGACCTTGGACAGATTTGGGGGAGGTTGGGAGGATATATCAGAAAAGAAAGAAACAGCTGGAAGATAAGACTGAGAATGAGGGGCTCAAGAGGTGGGAAGACAACTGGGAGAACACAATGTGCAAAGGCAAGGATGGTGGGTGACAGGTATGGCTGGGGCCCAAGAGGGCCTGGGAAGGGACAGGGGGCAGGAAGGCAGGCAGGAGGGGGAAGCAGGAGTGAGCAGGAGCTGGAGGGGATGGGAGTCTAGGAGAGGTGCCTTTTCATCATCATTATTATGTTCATGGGAGAGGCTTATGCACATTAAAGTGCTAGCAGGAAGAAGAACTTGGGGAGGAAGAGGTTGAAGACACAGAGGGCATCAGAGCCAGGCCTCTGAGAAGGCAGGGCGTGGGACCAGGCCAGGAGGAGAGTGGGCCCTGGAGAGGAAACAGCCCCTCTTCTATTAAAGCCAGAGGGAGGGAGAGGATGCAGGGAAATGTGTAAGTTTGGTGGCAGGAAATTTTCTTCTCACAGCTTGTTTTTCCCTGATGAGCCCAGGAACATCCACGTGACAGAGGAGAAGTCCCAGAAGAAGCTGGCAAGGGACTGTACAGGCTCAGTCGCCTCTCAGATCCAGGCGACCTCAGCTGAGAAGTCAGAGCCAAGGACGGCCTGGGAGAGATGAGGGCCCGGTGCCCTTGGAGGGAGGGCGGGTGGCAGCCCACAGGTGGCTCAGTGGCGCACCAAGGACGCAGAGCTACCAGGGCCGTCCTGGCCTTGGCCCCAACCTTTGTTTCCCTTCTAGAACCAGCCTTGTCTCCTCTGGTCAATTTTAACTTGAGTACACACAGATCAGTTCCATAGCATGGACTTTTTTTAAGCATTAGTGACTGGAAGAGTTTTGTTCTATTACTTCACATTTTCCTAAACCCACTTCACACAGATGGAACCTCTTGTAATCCTATAAGGCCAAACACAGAAGAGGAACAAGTCTAAAGAGGTTGGGCCCAGTTACTTATTTTAGTACAGATAGAATGGTCTCATTTCTTCTCACATCTTGATAAGTCTCTCTGCTCTGAATTTGGGAGATTTCCACACTTCGCTCATTCACACTTCGTTCATTCACAGAATTGTCAAAACCCAAGAACTACACATACCGTTTTTGAATCAGGGTCTGGGAAATGTTCAAACCAACTAAATTTAGGGCAAATGTATTAAGTACCTGCTTTGTTTCCTGCCTGCATGTCATCAACAAAATGAAGAGAACTAATAATGAATTTTGTTAATAATTCAAGGCAGCAATCAGAGTGTGGTGTGGGAAAAAGAAGAAGGTGTTTGGAGTTAGAGCTGAGTGTGAATGCTGCCTTTGTCACTTAATAGCAGTGTGCCCCTGGAAAGAGGAAGGCAGGTAACTTTATCAAGGAGCCGTCATGTGCTAGGTGCTTTGTGTGTTTTAATTTCATTTATAATGAAATTCACAGATACAGTAATATACTCATAAGATGAGAACATGGACGTTCTGAGAAGATAAGCATCATTCAGCCGTGTGTAGACAGCCAGGGTCTGACCCAGATCTGTCTGACTGTGGGGTTCCCTCTGCCCCCTTTCCAGGGGTCTTCCTAAGTTATTACAGCGTGGAAATGGGACCACAGACTCTGAAATAAACACACACACACACTCCTACTGTTTATTTAAAAAGTTTAGGAAAGATACAAAGGGAGCAAATAGCCTGAAATTGGGCAACAACCATGCCTCAGTCCTTGAACATCAGTTTTATGAATTAGGTTTTATATTTGATTATAAGCCATACTTTTCCAGGACTGGATTTGGGATCCAATGGGGAGAGAGGCCATTATCATCACAAACTTTAAAAGGGCAATAATATACATTTGCAAAGCGATTCCTGTACGTGTTTGAAAGGGTAGTAAATATAACTGAGGTAGGTCAAACACACATTTGAAACCAAATGCAAATATACACGCTCAGAACAAGGAAAATCATAGTAAACAGGTAAATTCTGCATCTCAGAGAGATTCCTCTCTGCTTTTGAAAAGAAGTGGTTCCTAGCACTCTGGGAGGCCAAGGTAGGAAGATCACTTGAGATCAGCCAGAGCAAGAGCGAGACCCCATCTCTACTAAACATAGAAAAAATTAGCCAAGTGTGGTGGTGCACACCTGTAGCCCCTGCTACTTGGGAGGCTGAGGCAGGAGGATCACTTGAGCTCAGGAGTTGGAGATTGTAATGAGCTATGATGATGCCTCTGCACTCTGGCCTGGGCAATAGAGGGAGATTCTACCTCAAAAAAAAAAAAAAAAAAAAAAAAAAAAAAGAAAGGAGAAGAGAACAGAAGAAAAGAAAAATGGAGTTAGTATTCATTCAAGAAAATGAGCCCTGAGCCCTTTTCCTCTTTGCTGGAATGGGAGTGGGGAGAGTTACGTGAGGTGACACATGTGAAACACCCTGTCCATGTAGGGGATCCTTGTCAAGTGGCTGCATTAGTGAATACCGTTGTCATTGCTATGGTCTCAGTGGTGGTCTCAGTGGTGAGGTGTGAAGGGTGCAGCCTGCTCAGGCTTGGCTGAGTTCTCTTGTGGAGACAACTGCCAGGACAGTGCTGCCATTCACAGACGCGGGGTGACCAGGGAGAGGTGCTAGTTGGCTGCCGGGTAGTTTCCATGCATTCCAAGTCCAGGGCACTCATCTTGTGACCAGAGCTGCCCGTGACCTTCAGCCAGGCCTCCCTCCAGCTCCTCTCTGTGGCCTATAGCTGTGTCCTGACGTGCATTTGACCGGCACTCCAGACATAACTACCCCCTTGGCAGTTTTGTCCTTGACCATTCCACTGCCCTCCCTGAGTCCCCAGCTTACCCAGATCTGTGCCTGTTTCAGCTGGTGGGCAGCCGACTCTCACTACAGACTTTATGAAGGTTCCAGGTATGGGGCAAAAAATAACCGGTTAATAATACTGAGGCCTAATATGAGTTATTAAAAGGGGGTCCTTTAACTTAGGGGTGGAGTACTTTAGAGTCTGCTAGAGCATTGCCTCCATTCTCTGTCAGGGCTTCTCAAGACATGAGCTAAGAACACTGGGCACTTGGACAATGGCTTTTCCTTGGTCCTTTATGTACCACCAAGTAACGCCATTAGATTGCTCCTATTAGTCCAGCTTTCATCCCTGGCATAAGAACCAGCCTCACTTACAGGAAGAATCAAATCACCTAAACCTAAGAAGAGACAAGGCCCCTGAACAAGATATTAAAGAGAACCTTTCCTCTGCCCCCTTTTGTTATATGAGAAGTGGGTGGGGCCAATTTCAGGAAGGAACCCAAGGTAATCCCAGAAACTTCTCTGCTTGCAGTGTGCTTGGAGTGGAATGTTGCTTGACTCCTGGAATGGAGGATGTCATGTGGCAAATGAAATCTGAGACTTTTAGCTAGATTTTAATTTTATGTTAGCCTGGAACCGTGGAGTCACAAATGGAGGGAGGGAGGTGGTGAGTCCTGCTGAATAAAACATTTTTGCCCCCTCTCAGATGATTTGCCTTGTAGGAAAGGACTTCTGGGCTTACAGAAGCTGGGAGAGTGGCATTGGTGGGGTTAAGAATATTTTGGCACAGAAATCCTGGGAAATGTGGCCAGAGTTGTGGGAAAAGTATCCCACTTCTCATCCTCTCCTCTGGCGGTCCCAGCCTACACCTTCACCTACAGACCGAGCCCTCCCCTCCTAACTGGTGAAGACTTGAATATCCAAGACTTCACCCCTCCCCACCTCCACACCCACATTGCAATTAGATGCCCCCATGTATTTTGCATCCTGAGTGGAATCACTGTTGAAACTGACTCTGTGCTTCCTAGGAACTAGCCAGCTGTGGATGGAGTAAGAAGGAGAAACACAGCCTCGCCCCCAACGTCGTGGCCTTTACCCGGAGGTTTAACCAGGTGAGCAACGCCCCTTGCATGCGCCTGTCCAGATAGCAGTGTGCTGACCCCTATAGGCTGGAAGCCCCACCAGGGCTCAGTCCCAGGCCTCTGCAGGTCCAGCCCCTCTTCCTAAATCCCCCACCTTTATCTACTCTGGTGCCATCGCAGTCCATTTTCGCAAGGCAGGTGGAACTGAACACACCTTTCCTGTGCTGAAATCACTTCAGGGGCTTCCCGTTCCACTCATGCTAAGATTCAAGCACCTTAAGGTGCTCTGCAAGGTCCTCCATGGTGAATCTAGCTTCTTTCCACCCCTTCAGCCTCGTCTCTATTCCTCCTCCTCCCTCTTCAGGCTCTGGTCATCCTGGCCTCCTTTCCCTTGCCTGATGTACCGTCTTCCTGTCCCATCAGGCTCCCATATGTGCTGTCCTCTCAGCCCCGAATTCTGCCTCCCTGTTCAACTCCCAGTCAGACCTCAGCCTGAATGTGACTTCCTTGGGAGCCTTCCCTGAATCCCCAGCTGTGTGAGGCCTCCTGCCATACATTCCCACACTGTACCCTTTGCTTCTCTGTGTGATCCTTTGTTTATCTGTCCTCATTTTGTGCAACTTTGTAGTCTCTGCCTTCCTTGCCACCCTGTGAACTCCATAAGGTCAGGTACCATGTCTGCCTTGTTCATCCCTGTGTCCCCCACCACTTGGCCCAGTGTCAGACATATAATAAAAAGACCCTCAGTCAATATTCGTGGAATGAATGAATTAGGTACGCAGGAAATACTTCTCAGATTGAATTTTTCTGAATCCCTGATGGCCTAGTCACTGGCCCCATGCTACTTCAGACTGACTTGGTCCAGCCAGAACCTTTGCCCCAGGTATGAAGATCCGAGTCCCCATTTATTGGAATAATGATTGAAGACTTGGACCAAATGAGGTGGGTGGGGCTTCCTAGTTCTCAGTCAGACCTGCCAGAACATGATCTTCAGAAGAAAGCACCATGTAAGACACCCTTTGGATAAACCAAAACCCTAAATGGTGCTGTTGGCAGTTTTTCTTCTTCACTCTTGTTTTTCTGGTTTTAAATGAGGACAGTGGCCTAGAGGTTGCAGAGTGTGCGTGACTGGCCCTCTGGTGATGCAGCCTGGGTTCCCTCTGGGCCTTCTTTCCAGTGAGCTTCCCTCTCGGAAATGCCTGGCCTGTGCATCACTGTTGCTCAGCCGCCTCGGCACAGCTGGATCCTCAGAGAGGCACGAGCTTGCAGGGTGAGGATCGAGGTTGGAGTTAGCATTACTGTTGTTTGAGGAAATACAGTAGAAGCCAAGAAAGGCCTAGATACGTCTGAAGTAGGGGTGACACACACTTTGTTTTGGAAAGAAAAGTTCCAGAGCCTTTTGCTTCTTTTTTCTTTCTTGTGAACATCTTTTTCTTTTCAACTGAGCTTAGTCTTTCTTTTTAAAAAAAAAAAAGTATGCACAAACTATCAGGGGATTCATGGTTTCCTTAACAAAACTATTTGGCTGGGAGCCAACTCAGTCCCCACCTCCGACCAGCCACAGAGCTCCCGGAGGAGGGGCTGTTGGGGGCTCTGGTGTAATCTGCTTTGCATGTGGGTGCCAGGTCAGCTTGGCAAAGGCAGTGTAGCTTGTTCTGTGAACAATTGCATCGTGTCCAGCTCGGACTAAGTGGTGAAATGAGCCAGAAGTGAAGTTGCATTTTTTCAAACAGAATACTCTGGGAAATGGTCTTCCTGCTGGCCCATCAGCCACTCTGAGAGCCGGCGGCTCCTGGACACAGCCCTGGTAGCTCTGGTTTAAAAACGGGCCAGAGGCCAGGCCTGGTCAGCCATTGAGGCTGCTTTCTTTCAGATGATCTTAGCGGCATCCCTTCTGGTAGAACTTTCATATGTGAGAACAAAACTCCTCATCGACTCCAGATAAAAAAAGCAATGACCTCTCTGAGCCTCAGTTTCCTTATCTGTAACTGATAGGAATAATACTCGCCTTGTATAATGTTATGAAGATTATGAAGATTAAATTAAATGATATATGAAGAGCTTTAGCATGGTGTCTGGCATGTAGTAAGCACCTAAATGTTTTGGGGGAAGAAAAGGGAAATGTGAAGATCAGTTGATTAGAAGTAGGTTGCCAGGAGATTTGCGGTTCCCTGTGGTCGTACCAGGAACCCAGTGTGCAGTGTCCTGGTCAGCCCCTGGGGCTGGTCTGCTTCTCTCTGGGGTCTGAGTCCCTAGGATTTGTTCACAGAGTGGCTGAGATGGCAGAGCTCAGCCAAGTTCATTGAAGATCTGTTATGTGCCAGGCCTCTGTCCCAACCCCACACAATTCACTGTATAGCACACAGGTTCTCAATCTTTTTGGGGTCATGGGTTCTTTTGATAATCTGACAATATCATATATGAATGTGCTCCCAGAAAAATACACATATATATAAATTTTTTTTTTTTTTCAGACGGGGTCTCGCTTTGTTGCCTAGGCTAGAGCGAGTGCCATGGTGTCAACCTAGCTCACAGCAACCTCAAACTTCTGGGCTTAAGCGATCCTTCTGCCTCAGCCTCCCGAGTAGCTGGGACTACTGGCATGTGCCACCATGCCCGGCTAATTTTTTTATATATATATATATATATATATTAGTTGGCCAATTAATTTCTTTCTATTTTTATAGTAGAGATGGGGTCTTGCTCAGGCTGGTTTTGAACTCCTGACCTTGAGCAATCCGCCTGCCTCAGCCTCCCAGAGTGCTAGGATTACAGGCGTGAGCCACCTCGCCCGGCCACATATATATAAATTTGCATTTAATTTTAGGACTGCCCTCCTGAAGTTTGTGCATGGGCACTTTAGAGGTGTGTGGACTACAGGCTAAGAAGCTGTGGACTCGGAGAAACAATTCGAGTCTTAGCTCTACAAGGTATTAGCTATTTGATCTTGGGTTTACTTGTAGCCTCTGAGCCTCACCTTCCTCATGTATAAAACAGGAAGAATCATTTCAAGTGGTTTTTGAAGACTAAATGAGATTGTAAAATGTTGATCTCAGTACCTGACACATAGTAAGCAATTCATGTGAGCTTAAAAAAGGGTGTGGAGTAGTGGGATCTATGAGCTGAGGAAGGTTAAGGCCAGACTAAGAGGCTTGGGCCTAATTGCAGTCTTTAGGGTCAGGATTGTGTCCTGAAGATGCTAAAAATTTTGGAAAAGAGGAAGAGGGAATCAGCAGAAACTTGGTTCTAGTTCAGGCTCTGCTGCTAACCTGCTTTAAAGGCCCTTTGCAAGTCCCTTCCTCTCTCTAGTCTCAGGACCCTCATACATTAACTGAAACTGGACAGGGGCCACATGTTTCTAACTTTTCTCATGGACTCATGTATGTAATTCCTAATGACTGAAAACCCCAACTCAAACTTGCTTGAGCACAATCAGAGCTTAATGGCTTATGTAACAAAGGAGATAAGAGAAAGAGCAGCCTGGGAGGGGAGGAGCACACAGAAAGGGCAGCGTCTGGACATCAGTGGTTCAGGATTGAGGAAATGCTACAGAATGGGTCAACCAAGACGGGGCGGAAAAAGTCCTTTGAATTTAGCAGCAAGGCTTGCTGGTGACTGCAGCAGGAGCAGGCCAGGTGGTAGGAGATGTGAGGCCATGGAGAGAGAAGTGTGAGTGATTTTTACAGCCGTGGCTCCAAAGGAGAAAGATGGAGAAGGGAGTGGCTGGAGGGGTCAAAGAGGACCAGGGAGGTGGATCTAGCTTCCTTCTTTTAAATGGGCAGAGCCTTAAGGATGTTTATATTTTAAATGGAAGGAATCAGTAGATCAGGAAAAATTAAAGATGAAGAGAGAGGCTGGCATGGTGGCTCACATGGTGCTAGTGTAATCCTAGCACTTTGGGAGGCCAAGGCAGGAGGATCGCTTCAGCCCAGGAGTTCCTAGCAATAGTGAGACCCCATCTTTAAACTTAGCCTGACATGGTAGTGTGTGCCTGTAGTCCCAGCTACTTGGGAGTCTTAGACAGGAGGATCAGTTGAGCCCAGGAGTTGGAGGCTGCAGGGAGCTATGATGACACAACTGCACTCTATTCCAGGTGACAGAGCAAGACTCTGTTTAAAATATATATATAAAATAAAGAGAGAGAGAGAATACTTATGAGGAAAAGTCTCAGAGAAGGTGGAAAAGCCAAGGCCTCTCCAGCGTGAGCAGTGAGTCAGCAGAAGGGAAAGGTGCACGCATGGGCCCGCTCACAGGTGCTATGCAAGGAGGGTTGTAGCTTCTCTTCTCAGCAAAATGGGAGTCACGGGGGGAAGCAGTGGGGTAAGAAGATTGATGGGTTTGGGGAAAGCTTGAAAAAAGCTACTTTATAGTAAAGGAGAGAAAGCTGTTTATTGAAATAGAGAAGGACTCTTGGGCAGTGATAGTGGCCCAGATGACATAGAGATTGTGACTTTTAAAGTGGCCCCAGTGCATGTAGGTTGATGGTTTTTCTCTAGTTGCACTTCGCAGCCTGAGAGGAAGCCCATAGGAGGGCAAATGGTTGGATCCATCCATAGCCAGGGGTTGGCAAAGGAGGTATTTCGGAAGGATCCATGGGTAAGGAAACTTAAGAAAGGGCCAAAGTGACAGTGATAGGAGCTTGGTCTTCTTAAGAGGAAAAGGGCTGCCAGGCAGCCCAGGGTACGGTGAGAAGGAAGGTCCGGCCTGGTGGGGGGTCAAGGAGAAGGTGGTGGCCCAAGACCAGAACTTAGGCTTCGGATGTGGAGCAGGCCTGGGTAATCATGAAGGAGGAGGTGACTGAGGAGGAGGGGGTAACAGCGCTGGAGGTGAAGGGGTCACAGGACCTTCATTCACAGCGACGACCAAGTCGGGGAAGGAGGAAGGATTTGGTGTGGAGTGAGGACAGCAGTCCAGATCCTGATCCGTTTACCATCTCATTGATGGAATCATGCCTGTGTATCCTTTGCAGGCTGGCTTCTTCCACTTAGCAGTAGACACTTTATTGACTTGATAGCTCGTTCTTTCTTCCC